ATGGGGAATTGCTCAAAACCCTGGCTTACCATCAGATCCTGAAAATTGGACCCATGAAAATTGTTTGGCTTTAAAGACCACATTACAAAATTGTTTGCCTCATATCCGTTATTTTCAAATTTCCGGAGATGATATTATTGATAATGTACAACCATATCAACAAATTCTGGATAAAAATCTTTGGAAAGATATAACAAACAAGTTTATATCACCAAATCGACCAATATCATCAATAATCCTCCCACCTCGTATAATTTTGGCATCAATATTACCTAATAGAATTATTGAAACATTTTCGACAGTTATCAATGAAGCACATGCGGCAGAAATTTCTTCATGGGTTGATAAAAAAATTAATGCATATTCAGCAATAAATAATCCATACGAATTTAAATTACTTCTTCGTGGAACTAGAGATAGTTTTACCAAAGAAACATTTTGGAATTTATGTGAAAAAAAAACACATATTGTTGTTGTTATGAAGGTTAAAGGTACCAATGAAATTCTTGGAGGATATAATCCTATTGGATGGTTTAAACCTAAAAATACATATTTCTTCAATAATTGTAATGATAGCTTTATTTTTTCATTGAAAAATGGCACTATTCAAAATTCTATTTTGAGTTATGTAAGAGATCCAGAAGGAGCAATTTGCTGTAATTACACTTATGGACCAACTTTTGGTCGTGGCAGTGATTTACGTATGGGAAATAATTTTAATCGAGATCGTCAGTGCTGGACTCGTCAACAATCATACGAAGAACGAATTAGAGATTTATCTACATACGAAAATGGAAAATCATATTTTTCGGTGGATGAATATGAAATATTTCAAATTAGTGAAAAATTCTAAAAGATTTATTATAATTATTATAGGATAAAATTTAGCACCGTTAACTTATATAATAAAATATAATCAGTAGTGATAGGTAATAAATTTTGATATTTTAGATGTCTTATATGTTCAAAATATATAAAAAATGCTTTTATTATTAAAAACAAATAAAAATTAAATAGTAAATATACAATAAAAACTATAATTTAATAATTATATAAAATATAATAAATTTAAATTAATTACTTAAACCATTTTTAATTTTTTTTTTTGTTATTAATCTAAATTATAAGATAAAAATTTTATATTAGATAGTCATAATTTGGTGCCTCTGATGTCATGAGTAGGTTCCAAAATGTGATCTCTTTTACATTGGTCAAAAGTATAAAAAGTGAAGCATTTATTTCAATAAACGAGAGAACCTCGTTTTCCATCATAAAGTACATAGTCATAATGATTTTCGCTCATTAAGTTCACATCACATCATCTCTTATAGAATTGTCATGCCCTATAGAAATCTCGTATCATTCAATCGATATAAGTTCTACCTACCTTCAACAGATTTTCAACAGATTTAAACCAAATTGATTTTTTTTCGTTTGCAATTGTGCTTATGTCATCTTCGTAGCAGAATCTAACATTGCCCATCGAATTACCACCTTCAACTTTTTTTCATCTTTTTCTGCACTATGCTATTTTTAAAATAAGCCTAGTGCAAAAAAAAATTGCTATTTACCTGAAAAAGATATTTAAAATATTCAACATGCGATGATATGCGTATGGGAATTCTTCGGAATTATTTATCTTTATTACTAATTTAATGAAGAAACATATGGGGATAGGTTTCGCCATCTTAAGTCTCCACCCTAACATAAACCAGACTAAAGACAACGGTAGCTGCACTAACCGTGAAACGCATGTAAACTATCATGAAAACTTCTATAACGAGAAAGAGAATCGAGTAACTAAATAACATGAAAATGCTCTATGTATTTACAGGTCCTTGCACTGCCACTGCAGCCGTGGAGCCTCTCCTCACTTACCAACAAAAAGGGCTTACTAACCAAGAGAATAACTGCAACCACTTTAAACAACAGATATGACTAAAGAGTGAATGGGAGGGAAATAGAGCCAGCCTTAACACAAGGCGAACGATAGCTAAAAGAAAGATGAATCCTACTAACTAACCCAAATCCCTTAAATAACCATTGTACTGATCGAAGGCGCGCCTTATACCTACATAGGAAACTCATATTTCTTATTCATGGCCAACAAACACTTACCACAAATTATTGATAACGATAACGCCACATTTAGCAATCATATGCTGTTACATCACGAAAACTTGCGTAAAACTAGACTAATTGCAACTTAACCCATAAATGGTTAAATAACAAATGTGCACGTGACCTAAAGTCCTTTGATCTTGTAATTTCGTTAGCAAGCTTCTCATTAGCTATGGGATTCGGAATATTTCGGAATCTATTAAAAAGTTCAGCTTGCATTATGGTGACTTCTTTGTATTAAGACATACACACATCACTAGTTATTCTTGTATATGAAACCTCAATTTTTAGAGTTAATTAGAAATGAATTCTTTCTTTGACTCCTCGCAACGAGCATAATTCGTATTCGAAGTATTTTAATGACATGTTACAAAAATTGGATGTATCAATTTTAATTATTTTAATTAAATATATTGCCAAGAATTGTAGTTTATAAAGAAAGTAAATTACCGTTAAACACAGAAGAACTACCGCTACAGTATATTCAGATTGTTATAAATGTTTCACCACACGTTAGTGACACAATTGATTATCGTCGCATAAAGTATTACATATGTACGTACGACCATTTTATATGCAAATAATTAGCCAACTTTAGAAATAATTTAAATGTGGAACACAGAAATTAAAAATTTTGAAATTCACATAACATCAATCATAACTGTAATCATGATAGTACGTAATAGCATATCAAAAAAATAAATTCGCGGTGTAAATTGGCAAATTTTTACAACTTTTGGATAAAGTACGATGTTTTTCAAAGAGCTTAATTAAACTCGTAATAATATTTTTTATTTGTGGTCGACTTAAAATCACTTGTTGAACAAAGCTTTTTATTCTTATTTGAGATAGCATACGGTCTTGGTCGAATACGGGACACTTTAAAATATCAATGCGGTATTGGCCGAATATGTGCCCATTTTATTTTCATGTCTCTAATTTAAAAGTTAGTACATATGAAGAAGTTATATATAGTGTTTCTTTTCTAACATTGATACTAACCAAAAAAGGAAAGCAATAACTGGATTACTGTATTGTCAACTACTAATATAACGGACCAGATTCACCAGTTTAACGGACAATTTGCAAAGAACTGAATTTTTAATATATAATAAATTATAGCAGTAATGTCAAGTGAGTAAAGTTGAGTAAAGTGGAAACGGTGGGGATGTGCAATTTGAGATTTGATAGTGCAATTGGTAGCATAATTTTTTAGAGGCTTAGCGTTAATATATACTTGGAAATCTAATATTTAAATGAATCAAGGAATTTCATGAGGCAATGATAATTATTGCATACTTCGCATGCAATAACTTTATAGTATTTAAATAAATTTTATATCATTTATTCATTTTTATTCATTTTTATTCTTTTCCATCTTTGACTACAAAAATAATTTTTGATCTATTGCTTTGTATCAGTCAAGAAATTTAAATCTTTTGCTTTAATCAGTAACAGCAAAAGGAATTTTAAAACCTTTCTAAATTATGCTATCATGTTGCTTGTCACAATATTCAAAAAAAAAAATTTTATTATAAAGTCAAGAGAATTAAAAATCTTTGTCCTCAGTAACGATTACGTTAACCAAGATCATTTTAAAAACCTTTCGTACTAATATACTATCACACCAACCAAGAGAATTTAAATCTTTTCATCCTAAATAGTACTATTGTACTAGCCACAAACTGTGTTCGTACTGGCCAAAAGAATTTAACTTTTTAGCCTCAAATAGAACAGTCTATATGAAAATCATGTGATTTTCATATAGACCGGTGCGAATAACCTAGGAGAAAAAGCACGGGTTGTTACATAGTACCCATGGAATAAGCTGTACTATAGTGTTTAGATCAAGATTACTTTCACACATTAGACAATTTATATATATATATATATAATATAGTACTACAGTACTTCAGCATTGTTATCGAATAAAAGTAATTTACATGACACGTTTTTGTGGCAATAAAAAATGAATTCTATAATTGTTATTATTTTTTTTTTTTGTCTTTCTAGGTATGTTACATTATAAGATATAAACAAATTAAGTAATTTGATAATTTAAATAATTTAAAATTTCCTTTGTTCATTACTCTAACTTAGAATCGTACCCGAGTAGACATTTTTTTGCTACAATAAATTACCCGAATAACCCGAATAACCGGAGAATTTATAATACCCGTGTGCAAATGCACTTGAGAGGTACAATCCCTATTCTAACTTTAAAATTATAATAGTCCACATTTAATTAGAATTATTATTATTCGACCAACTCACAGAGACTTAATTATTATTCCAATTTTTTTGGTCTAATAATTCGATTAAAAAATTTGTTCAATATTTCCATCTAATCATATAACATATAATACAATTCTTTTTTTTTACTGCTTTTGTTACTAAAAAAACATGTCAAGAATGAATAGAATATATCAATAAGGGTTTCTGTAATTGCTTATTAGAAATATACAGCAATACGTATTTGAAGGCAAAATAAATTAATGTTTAAATTCATATAATACAGAATGCGCCAAGAATTATGGCTTACCACTTGATTTATCTGATTCTTTTTATTATCTACTGTTACATAATCAGTGTATTACGTACTCTCTTTAAATGTCACAACGTTATTCATCATATATTTATTTGTGTCAATAACATGCAGCAGCTAAATTTGAAATAAAAACAACAATAACCTCACCTGGAATCAAAATCGTCACTCATATCTCATTTTATCTTAATGTAGGGGAATAATAAATTTTTTCATTAGTGTCACATACTTCAGTGCTTTACAATTTTTAATTTCGATACTTATTCGAATTGTAATTGGCGGTATATTTAGGTATATTTAGGAGAATTACCTGATATGTATAATTTCAAAAAGAATGAGTACCTGTATAGCCCATTCTAATTAGTTATTTGGAATACGGCAGTTATCAATGCTTGGAGTTTTTAATGAATTTATTATTACACAAAAGATACTAATTTACTGCATACACTAAATATCGATTACTTATATACGGCCATCGACTGCAAAAAAAAAAACCCTCCAATTTCCTGAGGCTTGGTAATTTTTACCCAAAATGAAGTTCCTTTTACTTTTTCTATCCTTTATTCAATTATGCATTTTGTTCTCAAGTACACCAAAGGCTCAAACCTTTACCAAAGACCGAGTGGCAGTGTCAGTGATCCATTTCCTACTCCATTCGAAGAAAATTATAAAGGCGATATTAAATTTTTGGTTATTGGTGATTGGGGACAAAAAGGTCCCGGTACCGGTCAGACTCCAGTTGCAGATGCTATGAAAACTTGGGCTGATAAAAATCATACTACATTTGTTTTAAATCTTTGAGGTAAGCTTAATTCTAAATTATTCGAATCTTTTGAATCAATTAGTTAATAATACATTTTATTTATGCAAAAGTGTCTAAATTATCAATTTTACTTATTTTACTTATTTTACTTAAAAATGATTATTCTTTTATTAGATAGTTTTTATCAAACCTCAAACGCTAGTAGTTCTACCACTGCCATTGATCCAGTTGATCATGAAGGTGTATTAAGCCCAGATGATCCCAAGTGGAAAGGTTATTGGTTAGACGTATACGGCGGCCAATTGAAAAACGTACAATGGTTTTCTGTAGCAGGAAACCATGATTGGTATGCTAATGTCACCGCTGAAGTTGACTATTTTGGGGATGATGATTCCAGATTCTTTTTACCCTCTCTTATTACGTTAGAAAAGTTACTTTTGGTAATAATGTTAAGGCCGTCTTTATTCATATTGACACTGATCCCTTTTATTACAACTACACTGCTTATACTAAAGTCAATAGGTTAAATGGAACTCTTAAAGATTTTAATTTATATACTAATGATCAAATTACTGCTAGACTTGATTGGCTTGATCAGCAATTGCAAGATAATCAGGATGCTGATTGGCTTTTTGTTGTTGGTCATCACCCACTTGTTGGTGATTGTGGTCTTAAAAATACTGCTAAATATTATTTAATGTATTTAATTCCTCCTGTTTTGGCAAAAAATAATGCATCGGGTTATTTCAACGGTCATGCCCATGAACTTTCTTATATGGCTCCTAGTTCATCTTCTAGTGTCGCTTATTTCGGTTCAGGTGATGGTGGTGCTACTCTTGGTTCTGGTTGTACTCATCCTACTTGGTCTGCTCCTTTTACTTTTGGTTTCTTGTCCATTACTATTTCTGCTGATGGTAAAACTTTATCTTTCGAGTTTGTTAAAGCAAACTCTACTGATACTGATCCTGAGGTCATTTATGCGGGTACAATTAATTCTAGAAAATAGTTCTTAAAATATTATAATTTTATTTTATAATACTAGAATACAAGCTTAATATCTTCACCTACAAATTTACAATTATATCTTTAGTAAATACACTTATATATATATATCTAATAATATATACATGGATCTATAATTTTTTTAAATAATTTCAATGAAATTTATATAGTTATATAGTAATTATACATGTAATTAATATGAACTTTACATAAAATTACATTATTAAAGAATATTACTTGGTTTACGTGTAGTGTATGTACACGTAATAATTTTTATAAACAAAAAAAAAGATTTGATTTTGTATATTCATAATTCTTTCGTCAGGTTATGTGCCCATATCTGCCTTTCTTGTTGACTATTTATAAATTGTATTTACAGTAATATATTACCTAAGTCTATAACAAAAGTTCTAATTTAATGACATATATAACTTGAATACAAAAAAAAAATGCAAAAAATGTCGTAGTTGCGATAACTAACGATAATAAAAAAGGAATTTCAGACACAAAAATTGGTAACCCTGTGCAAATTAATTTACATATTTGCCTGATATTTGGCATTTTTTGTTAGGATTTTTTGTTGGGTTGATGAAATGATAATCGCTAATCTTAAAAGTCGAAAGAAATTTGGTTTTTGGATCATCGGGTGATCGTTGAATTAAGGTATTATGAATAGTAGTGGTGTATAGTTTAGTAAAGTAGTGAAGTTATACTGTAAAATCGCATTTGAGTATATAAAATTAGCATACTGTACGTACTCGTAATATATTATATATAAAATAGTCTGGAAGAACACTATCAACTATGGCTAGAAGGACATATATTTTCGATCGTTTGAAGGTCTAAAAAAGCCATCATCGAAAGACTGTAAGTTACTCTGATGATTATCACCATTTGCACCATTTGGAGAGGTCTAAAAAGTGCATCTTTTTGATTATCGGTTGTGATCTGCCATCAGTTGGAATTTCCTTATGTCAAGAAAATCCTGAGCTGCCGGCCGAAAAGATATGGGTCGAAGTATATCAAAAACTCTGTACATCTAACATTAACGATGCCTTATAAGTAAAATTTCATTCTGAAAACTTTTACTTTGAGGTCGGAAGTTAGTCATCATAGTAAATTTTTGTGTTAT